CCCCCTGTGTCTTCACATCACCGTCCCTCGGAGCACTTCTGCCTCTGTGTCCGAACGTCCTCTTTTTATAAGGACAGCAGGCATTTGGGGTTAGCGCCCCCTCTCATGATGTCATCCTAACGCAATCATCTGCAAAGACGCTATTTCCAAATAAGGTCACGTTCACAGGTGACTGTGGGGTTGGGTCTTTGACATCTTCTGGGGGACACAGTTTTACACTTCCCCATAGCTCTGCTCTTCTTTGCAGCAAAAAGCCCTCAAAAGAGTTGTCTAGACTCAAAGGACCAAGCCTGGGCCAAGTGATATTTCACTCCATGGTCTTAAATGCCGTCTCTTTCCGAGAGCCCTCACGTCTGTATCTCAGCCCCAGCCTCGCCCCAGTGGCCCACGCTCATGTGCCCCATTCCTCGTTTTAGTACATTCGAGGCAAAGCCCACCAGTTGTCCTGGACTATCCCCTTCCCCCTCCCACTTAGCAAGGGTGGCCTCATCTTCAACGCCCATGGCAAATGTCAACCACTCCTTGTCACGTCCTCACCACCCTCTCTCCCCTGGAACACGGAAAGAACCTCCTCGCCACCCTCTCTACTACCACCCACGTGCTCGTTCCCAACACAGCAGCCGGATAATAAACTAAAAACCTGCAGCCTATTAGATCGCCTCCCCGTGCCCGCTTAAACCTTCCTGTCACGTGCAGGATAAAAGCCAAATTCCTTACCCTGGTGAGCCTGACCCACCTGCCTACCAGTTTGAGCCCATCTGCCTGCCACTGTCCACATTTCTCACCCAGCTCTTGCCACACAGGCATTCTTGTTGTTCCTCACGCTCTCCAAGCTCATTCCTACCACAGGGCCTTTGCACATGCTCTTCCCGCTTAGCTGCAATGCTCCTTCCCCTTACTGCAGGGGCCTTACTTCCTTCAGTCTCAGCTTCTGTCAGACCACCAATCCTAATACTCCTCCCAGGTCATTCTCCAGCCCTTACCTTGCTTTATCTTTCTTCAGTATCACCTATCGCTCTCTGCAAGTGTGTTGTCTATTTATTCAGTTATAATCTGCCACCGGTCTAGAATGCAAGCTCCATGAGGACAGGAACTCGTCTCATTTGCCGTGAGGTCCCTCCAACGCCTGGAACTAACGCCCGTAGTAAAATGAGAACTTTCTTTTGGGGGCAACGGGGAGACTGTGAGGGTTTACGCAGAGGAGTGACGTCATCAGAGTTTCGTTTTGAGAGTTCCTTCTGGTTGCTGCGCGCAGAAGAGACTAGAGGGGCTGGATGCGCCTCCGGGTGAGAGGCAGGGTGCCGGCCGGCCAGCGCAGGCGTGCGGGGGGATCTTGTAACCGGGACAGTTTGGGGCTCAGATGGTCTGGAGTTAAATCTTTCTGGCATTTGCGGCAAGTCTGCATGCCTCAGTTTCCTCACATATTAAATTATGTTTCATTAATTGCTGCTATGTAGAGCTACTTTGGGGGTTAAAGGAGACTTTGCTTATGGAGCTCTAAGCACAGTGGCTGGCACCTGGCCAGTGTTCAGCTAACACCAGCTCTTGGTCCCCATGGGAACTGGCAAGACTTGCAATTTAACAGAGGCGAGGCGTGAGAGAGAGCAGGGTACCAGCCTGAGAACCAGGGCAAATGGTGTTGCTGCCATTTGAAATTGGGGTGCTATGAGGGGGGAGCGGTTTGGGAAGGGACATGGCCCCAGGTTCAGTATGGGGCATGTTGAGGCTGCTGCACCTGTAAGATCCAAGGTCCAGAGCCGAGGAGAAGGCCAAGGGGAAGACGGCGATCCGGAAGTCATGCACACATGGAAAGGGTATTGGCAGCCAGGGGGGGTGACTTGAGGGGAGCTTGCAAAAGTGAATGAAAAATGAACCTAGGACGCTCAGAATTAAAGGAATGAGGTCACCAACAAAGGACCTTCAGAAGGAGTGGCCCAAGGGGAACAGGATACCAAAGAGAAAGGTGCCATGGAACTCAAGGGGGAAAGGGACCTTCAAGAAGGTAAAGGAGGGGTCAACGGTGCCTGGTGCTTCTTTTTTTCTTGTCTAGATCCGCGGGGAAGCCCACGGAGGTTGTCCCAAGGATAAAATCCTGCATCCCACCCAAGTCCGCCTCTAGCCACTCCGTGGAGGTTTTGTCGTAAATCACCAGATCCTCGTTCAGACACTTCATTTTCCCAATCCCCAAAGAGCAACCGTCACACAAGCTGATCTGAACCTTCCAGGCTTCTCGGACTCTTCACCCAAGCAATCCCTCGCCTCCCGGGACCACGTGTTCTCTCTGCAAAGACCCCCCTCGGCCCTGCACCCCACTTACCTGGCCCCATCCCCGGGCCACCCAGCACCGTGCTGAGGCTGCAGACCGTCACAGCGGTGTTCGGTGTAGAACAGACGGCTGAGGAGGACCTGCGGCAGGCATGCCTCGTGCTAGTTGATCATACGTCTAAAGGACTGCGTTTTTGCTGCATTCAAATACGAGCTCGCACACGCATGCGCACACATGGAGGCACGCAGGCACACGGACGTGCGCAGGCGCACACTGTTTCTTCTAGTTTAACTCACAGGTAGAAGGTGAGCTCTCGCCTAGGCCTTCTCATTACAGACAAGGACACCGATGCCAGGAGCTCGGTGACCTGCAACAACCCTCAGAGGTGGAAGTGAGCATTGCCTGGGAACACTCTTCCCTCTCCAGCCCAGGCTCTTTCGCTCTCCCTACAGAACTCAGCCCTGGAGAAGGTTGGCCTCCTCCAGAGAAGAAAAGGAATGGAGTCTCGCCCTCCTGTGGCCAGACACCAGCTGGGACCCCCCCTCCCTCCAGGTTCCCTGGCTGCTGGACGGCTCTCTTTCTCACGCTGCAGAGAAAACTCTTGGAGGGGCAGAGGCTGTCCTCAAAATCTTTTCAACCTGGTCCCCGCGTCTAATGGGTGTTCCATAAGTGTGTGCACCACCCATGTCCTTCAGAGGCGAGAAAGGCTTCATGGCCACCAGGACACCTGGACGGGCTGTGGCATGTGCCCGGAATCCCCAGGACAGCTCTGGAGGGAGCTGACTTCCCCCAAACTTCTAGAGAAGCCACCCAGGCAGCAGACATCCATCAGAAACAAGCTCCCCGGCACTGCAGCCTGGGCGACAGAGCGAGACCACTTCTCTAAAACATATAAAAAGAAAGAAAGAAAAGAGAAACAAGCTTCCTGGGCAGGCTCTGCTTGGAGGAGGGATCCTCAGACAGTAACATCATACCTCTAGGGGAGCCCTGAAGGACACTCATTGCAAAGCAGTTTTTCTATGAAGACCTGGGCAAAGTGCGTTCATCAGAGAACACGAGAGCAAACTCAGAATCCACAGCTGGTTCACAGCCTTCCCTCTGAAATCCCAGGAAAAATATATCCTGTAATTCATCTTAGGGTGCCATCAGACAAGGATCTATATATACTGCATATCTGAACCCTGTGTGTGTGTATGAATCTTGTATATATATGAACCATATACATATATATAATATGTGTGCATATATTAATGTTATATAAGTATATGTACACATATATACATATTCATATATGCACACACACAAGCATATCTATGTGTTGTTTTTAGTGGCAAAAGAATTGCCATTAAAGGTCTATCAGTAGGTGACAGGTTAAATCAGAGGTCACCAAGTAGGTCAGTGGGCCAAAACCAGTCCAGGACCTGTTTTTGTGAATAAAGTTTTATTGGAACATAGCCACACCTGTTCATTGGCATATTATCTTTGACCACTTTGGAACTACAACAGCAGAGTTGATTGTCTGCAACAGAGACCATCTGGCCTGCAAAACCAAAGATATTCATTGTCTGGCCCTTTACAGAAAAAGTTTGTTAACTTCTGGGTTAAATTCTGGTTCTTCTATATGCAGCTATTAAAATGACCATATAAGTCTGTAATTATGGCTATGAAAAGTTGTCCATGACATATTACTAAATAAGAAGATCAGGGCCAGGTGCGGTGGCTCACGCCTATAATTCTAGCACTTTTGGAGGCTGAGGTAGAATTACTTGAGACCAGGAGTTCAAGACCAGCCTGAGAAACATAGAAAGACCCTGTCTCTACAAAAAATTTAAAAAATTAGCCGTGGCTCTTGGAATGAGTAAATTTTTTTAAAAAAATTAGTCAAGCATAGTGCTGCATACCTGTAGTCCTAACTACTCAGGAGGCTGAGGCAGGAGTATTACTTAAGCCTGGGAGCTGGAGTTTACAGTGAACTGTGATGACACCACTGCACTCCAACCTGGGTGACAGAGCAAGACTTTGCCTCAAAAACAAGAAAACGAGTTGGAAAACGTTGCCTCAATCCCATTCTTATAAAAGGAATATGCATTCACCTAAATGTGCATAGAAAATATGTACGTTTCCTCTATAAATGTATGAGGAGGAGGCAGATATGGGGTTTTAAAAATTTCTTTTTAATTTTCTTTTTATGTCTTTCTTTAAAATAATAAGTATACCTTAAAGTTCTTTTCATTTCGGAAAAAAATAAAAAAGCTGCTCACTTCCTCCACCCTCAGATAGCTGGTGGAGTGCGTCAGCTTTGGGGGGGCGCGTGCCAGGGAGACATCGTGGTCTCTGGGGCAGGAGGAAGGGTCCCTGAAGGGCCGGGGGAGAGGTGGCCCCAAGGGAGCAGACCTCCCTGACAGCCCTGGGGGCCCCTGCCTGAGCAGCTTCTGCTTCCAGCTCCTTCTCCCCGACAGCCCCAGCCCTTGGTAGGTCCAGAGCTGGGAGGGGGAGACTGGCCACCGAGCCTGCCCTCCACCGCACCCAGCCGGGTGGAAAAAGACTCCAGAGAACATCTCCATCCTGAGTCAGTCCCTGGCTTCGCCCCACAGGATGCCACAGGGCGTGGCCAGGCGCCAAGCGCCAGGGCCCTTTGGGGACAGACCACGACGTCCAAACATGAATGGCTTATTTTTAGCAAAGTCCAACCCTCACGCCCCGGCCCCGCTGCAGGGTGAGCCACGGCATCCCCTCTGACTCAGCTTCCCAAACCGGCTCGGTTTCCGAGGAGCGAGGCAGTCTCCCCTCGCCGACGCGCGCTGCGGGCCGTCCCGTCCTGCAGGAACAGTCTCTACGGCAGCCCTGGCTCCTTCTGGGCCAGCGCGAGGGCTGCTTCCAGAAAGAACATAACAACCGTTCCCTTCACCTTCTGGGCTTTGGAACACGGGCCAGAAACTTCTACAGATTCAACCTCCTCCGTCTCCATTTCCCGAGCAAACACGTGACAACAACCTTCCCATGTGATGTCCCAGCCCAGGGGACTCGATCAGATGGTAAATCCAGGGAAACCTGAGGGCTGCCTTCCTCCTCCTCCTCCTCCTCCTCCCCCTCCTCCCCCTCCTCCCTCTCCTCCTCCTCCCGCTCAAGAGCCCCAGTCCTGTGACCCTGGCCCCAAACCCGGGCCTGTTTCTCAGGTGTTTCTCAGCCTCTTTGATGGGCCTCCACACTATGCCGGGCAGACTAGAGAAACGAAAGGAGGAATTGTTTTCTCCCAGCAGCGACACTAGAGCCGTGTTCTGCTGTGATGAATGACGTGGCTTTGACAGGGAGAAATGTGATCAGTGTGCGGCAGAACAAGGCGGACTCCAGAGGCCTTGGCATACCTTGCCAGAAAGGCTCGCAGACCTGGAAGGTGTGTGTGTGCGTGTTGGTTGGGGGGACAGGAGAGAGCGAGAGACTATTTTCCTTCCCTCGGCCAGCGTTTCCAACACTGCTGGAGTGGCCAGGACACAGCTGTCCCTCCCCAGCTGTCCCCGCATTATTGGAGCTTCAGGTGTCAGTTGTCGCAAAGCACAGACGGCCCAGGGCCTGCCCATATCCAAATCTTCAGGAAGAGGAGGCCCCTGCCCTCCCGGGCTGGCGCCTGGCTTTGCTCCGGCCCCCCGCGTTCTGCCGCCCCCGTCCTGCCCCGGCCCTGCTGAACAAGTCGGGGCGTCTCTGGATGGGCTCGAGAGCTGGAACTTGCCCTTATTTTGTTACGGGGCGCCATGCATCAGCCTTTATTCACACCCTATAAAGCTGTAGCCCTTAAGGTTAGTCTCCTCCGCAGCTGCAGTTGTCGCCCGGGGCAGCGTGCGGTGGAGCGGGAGCCCTGCAGCTCCCAGTGCTTTGACTCACGGCTCCTCCGACCCCTGCCCACCAGCAGGGGCTGCACCCCCGACAGGCGCCTTCAAGCCTCAGGCCGTGCTGGGACTTGGAGGAGCCGCCGGGGCTCCCTCTGCTCACCAGGTCAAGGCCTGGGCACAATGAACAGGAACGGCAGAACCATCTGGCCCTTGTCCTACGTTGTTGTCTCCCGTGGGCCTTTGTTCTCCTCGTAGGGGTCGGGCCCCTTTTACATTGTCAGCTCTTCCTTGGAATGGCGGGACTCTGCATCCCCCGGCAGGACAAGGGGGAGTGGAGTGGAGTCTCTCCGGGGCCACTCCCGGGCGGTTCCAGCGGCTTCCGTCCGGTGAGACTCGGTTCCCGTACCTATCCGATGGCAGAGCGGGAGTAAACAGTTGCCACGTTCCCACGCAGCTCTAACGCACGGGATTTTCACGTTTCCAGCACGCTCTGGTCCCGCCCAACCCTAACATACAGCCACCAGACGAGAGTCCCTCCGTGCCCACGCTGACCCGTGCACGCTGACCTTTAGCTCATCGTCACCGTTCTCGCCGGAGCCTCGCCAGGCCTTGATGACAAGGACGGTGCCATGTGGCCATCACCTCTTCCAGGTGAGAAACAGTTTTCCAAGCGCCCACAGAGCTGGCGAGTCGCAGGCCTGGGACCAGAACCCGGTCCCCTGACCCCAAGGGTGGTGCTGTGCCTTCAGCAGCTCCACGTCTCCCTTGCAAGTGTCTACACAGCTGGGAACAACACCGGCCAAGGGTGGAACCTCAACCTCGATGCAGGGGGGCCGAGGGCATTCAGGAGGAACTGCTGGACTGGATGGCAAGAATGGGAAAGGCAGGGAGGCCGGTTTCTTCCCGCATTTGGCCAACACAGGGTCAGCTGGCTCCCGTGAGCACCAGCCACGTGACAACCCCGAAACGAGGCTCCTTTCTCTTCATTCTGTTCCTCCTCCTTAGTCCCAGGGCTCCGGTGGATGCAGCGCACTGTTCTGGGGAAACTGATCCATTCAGCGGGTCAGCTGTGCAGAGTTTAAAATTCACTGTCCCCCCACTCTCATCCTCACCCCAAAATGGGCAGAAAAACTAGCAATGGTGTAAAGAATAGTTTGGATTTAAACTGGGGGCCTCCTCCAGCCCCTCGGCTCTGTCATAGTGGGCCAGGGTCAGGGACCTTATAAGCCCAGGGTCCACCGAAGGGGACAGGAGACATGCCGGGGCAGCAGGGGAGCATCTGTGTCTCATCAGAGTTAGAAATTGCTAGAACGTCGGTGTGCACCCCCAGCCTTCATGCGCAGGTCCCTCGGGCTCTGCTGTGGCTCAAACTCAGACAGACACGGCTTCTCAAAACATTTACATTCCTGCCAGGCAAAGATTCATGTGCCTTTGAGTCCCAAAGTACACAGGTTTTCATGGGAAGATTAAAAGAGGATCTCGATCATTTCAGGACAAATTAAGCAGTCTTGCCAAATGTCATTTAAAGAAAAAGAAAAAAAAAAAATCCTTGCTTTGCCTGCTCGTATTTTTTTTTTCTTTCTGGAATCCTTCATGTATTCATTTTATAACTTCATTGACAACGTTCAGTTGGAGCTTAATTAAAAGGATATTTAATTGAGCAGGTTCAACCTTAGTTCCCAGTGTCTGCAGAAAGTGCACAAAGACGGCACCGAGGGCTTGACACGAACCTGCAAAACTTGACGGGGGGGCCCGATATTCATGAAAGGGTGTTGTGAGGCCAAACCCACTCAAAGACCTCTGCAGATCCTGAGAAAGCGTTCTCTCGCGTGAGCTGGGCTTCAAAACATTCCCTCATAGTCCAGTGTTGAAAACACACACACACACAAACACACATTGCCCTACTCCTGGCAGGATTAGTTATTCTGTCCTTCACATGCCAAAGGGACAACCCTCAACATTTCTACCCGTTAAATATTTTTGCCAGAAGCGTGCATTCATGAAAAGCATATTCATGTAGAATGAATAAGGAAAATGTGGTACATATACACAATGGAATACTATACAGCTGTGAAAAATAATTGGAATCCTGTCATTTGCAGCAACATAGAGGAACTGTAGGTCACTATATCAAGTGAAATAAGCCAGGCACAGAAAGACAAACATTGCATGTTCTCATTCATAAGTGGGAGCGAAGAAAGTTGATCTCGTGGAAATGGAAAGTAGAATGATGGTTACCAGAGGCTGGGAAGGGTGGGAAGAGGGTTGAAGAGAGGTTAGTTAATGGATACAAACACACAGTTAAATAGAAGGAATAAATTCTAGTGTTTGATAGCTCAAGAGGGTGACTATAGTTAAAAACCTAGTGTATATTTCAAAATAACTAGAAGATTTGAAATGTTCCCAACACAAAGAAATAATAAATGTTGGAGGTGATGGACATCCCGATTACCCTGATTTGATCATTACCCATTTGTAAGCAAGTACCCAAATACCACATGTACTCCACACATATGCACAAATATTATGTATCGATTTAAAAAATGCAAACCTAAAAAAAGCATATCATCTATTCACAATTGGACCCACGTTGTAACATTTGAAAGTCAGAATAAAGCATGTGCATTCAGTATACGTGGGCACATTAATGAATATGATGCTCTTGTACTGTTGGCCCTGACCTTGAAATATTATTGCATTTTTGTTAACCAGAGGGAAGATCTGAGACACTCTATTTGGGTTTTGATTATCATTCAACACTGATGTTATAATGATGGTGGCCCACGATGAGATGGGTCTACCCGCCTGATGGGACCATAAGATGCAGAGAGGAGCCGGGGAGGGGGAAGGAGGGGAGAGATGGAGAGGGCGAGATGCCCACAACAGCCACAGCACGCGGCAGCACACAGACCCCACCTCCCTGCAGCTGGGGTCAGTAGTCAGTGAAGATGGTATGTGGGGAAGTGTAAGCCCAGAGTCCTCAGAGTGTGTTTGATCCCAGGTTCAGTTGTGCTACCTGTGCTTCTGAAGACCTACCTGGAAATGCCATTCCTCCCATCTGCAAAAGTGAACTGTGAATATTTGAGTGGCCCCTGTTGAAGTAGACAAGGGTGTCTTAGTCCGTTTTCTGTTGCTTAAGACGGACTACCTGAAACTAGGTAATTTACAAAAAGAATTTATTTCTTACAGTTATGGAGGCTGAGAAGTCCAAGGTCAAGGTGCCACATCCGGTGAGAGCCTTTTTGCCGGCGGGGACTCTCTGCAGAGTCCCGAGGCAACCCAAGGCATCACATGGTGAGGGGGCCGAGTATGCTAATGTGCTATACTCAGGTCTCTCTTCCTCTTCTTATGAAGCCACCAGTTCTAGTCCCGTGATAACCCGTTAATCCATCGATCCATTAATCCATTACTGTATGAATGAATTGATCCATTCATGAGGGCTCTGTCCCCATGACCTAATCACTTCTTAGGGACCCCACCTCTCAATACTGCCACACTGGGCATTAAATTGCAACATGAGTTTTGGAGGGGACAAATACTCAAACCATAGCAGGGGGTATCTCTAAATAGATCTCACAGGGCCCAAGATGCGGGGCAAAGAGCTATGAGAGTTACAGTCCTACTCCACTAACGATGCCCTTACCCCAGCAGTTTTGAGATTGCCCACAGGAGCATTTTAGTGAATATCCTCAGCGATGAAATAAAGAATAACTACTCATTCTTTAATGATGGATATGATTTCTAGGGGCAACCAAGAGAAGGCAGTAGAGTACAGGGGTCAAGAACATGGGTTCTTTCTGAGTAGTGGTCATTGTCACTGGACTACAGTCTTCCCAAGGGACTACTCCAGTCGTCAGACGGCAATATCACTGCTGTGGTTTGAATGTTTGTCCCTGCCAAAACTCACGTGGAAATTTAATTGCCATTGTAACAGTATTAAGAGGTGGACCCCTGAAGAGGTGATTAGGCCTTGAGGGCTTTGTCCTCATGGGTGGGATTAATGCCCACTATTAAAGGGTGAGTTTGGTGAGTTTTCTCTCTTTGCCCTTCTGCCTTCAGCCATGAAGGACAAAGCATTCTACCCCTCTGGAGGATGCAGCATTCAAAGCTTCATCTTGGGATCAGAATGACCAAGTCTGCAAGCACCTTGATATTGGACTTTCCAGCCTCCAGAACCGTGAGCAAATCAATTTCTGTTCTTTATAAAATTACCCAGTCTGTGATATTCTGTTATGGCAGCACATAATGGACTAATATAGTCACTTCCTCTCGTGTTCCATTGGTGAAAACTAGTTCATGGCCCCACTAGATGCAGGGACTGGGCATGTAGCAGAAAAGAAGAGGAGAGCAAGAACACCCAGCACAGCACAGGGAGGGGACCACTCCTGCCCTGGCCAGAACCCATCCTCCCAGTGGGACCCACAGGCAAAGAAGCACTGTGACACTTCTAAGGCTAATATGTGTACATGGACAAACTATCAAATCAGCAAGAAAACAGGTGCTACAGCACCCCAGATGCTCAAATGTGCATGCTTGGATTTATGGATTTATCCAAACACACCCACCCAACCTTTTTTGCACCCTCTGTTGAGACTGCCCACAATTCCCCTTGAGATATCCTTTACGGGTCCTAGGCCACTGCCCCCACTGCACCCCTGATAGTCCGTGGCCCTGCCTTGGTAATTGCCATAATGCAAACTGCTTTCCTTCCAGGTGTTTGCAACCTAGATCATGCTTCTGTGATCCAAGTCATGCAAAGACCCAGGTGGCCACTTTCCACCATATCTCATGATCTCAGCTGGGGTTGAACAGACCCGCCTGTCTCATTTTTCCTTGTCTCGGTACTTTCAGTTCTGTTTTGCTGCTGACCTGTTATTACTTTTATTTTTCATGGTTCATGTGACTCCTCCTCAATTTGCTCTCCAATGTTATGTCTATAAAATATCTCCAAAAATGTCATCAAAAAAGTAATACATGGGTGGCCTCTGGGGAAAGGAACTAGGTGGCCATGAGATTGTCTGGAAGGGAGACTTGTGAACATTTTTAATGCCCTACCACATGAGCAAATGCCTAATCAAAAATACTTTGAGGCCGGGCGCTGTGGCTCACGCCTGTAATCCTAGCTCTTGGGAGGCCGAGGCGGGCGGATTGCTCAAGGTCAGGAGTTCAAAACCAGCCTGAGCAAGAGCGAGACCCCGTCTCTACTATAAATAGAAAGAAATTAATTGGCCAACTGATATATATATTAAAAAAAATTAGCCGGGCATGGTGGCGCATGCCTGTAGTCCCAGCTACTCGGGAGGCTGAGGCAGAAGGATCACTCGAGCCCAGGAGTTTGAGGTTGCTGTGAGCTAGGCTGACGCCACGGCACTCACTCTAGCCTGGACAACAAAGCGAGACTCTGTCTCAAAAAAAAAAAAAAAAAATACTTTGAAAGCAATTATTAATGAAATGGGTGATAAGACTAGCAAGGAGATGCAATTGATCCGGAAGAGAACGGGGGAACAGGGGCCATCTGCAACCCAAAAATGAACCCCAGGGAAAAAGAGAGCTGCTTAAAGAACCTTTTTAAAAACATCTGTGGTATTACATGGAATGTAACCATCTCCCTCCCACCTCTACCAAGAAATATTCTGTAAAAGGCTACAAAGTCCATCAAAACCCTACGAGTCAGGGATGTGGAAAAATTAGACCCCTTTTGCACTGTGGCGGGGAATGTAAGATGGTGCAGCCGCTATGAAAACCAGTATGGTGGTTTCTCAAAAAATTAAATATAGAATCACTATATGATCCAGCAATTCCACTTCTGGGTATATACCCCCCCCCAAAAAAAAATCAAAAGTAGGATCTAAAGAGATATTTGTACACCTGTGTTCACAGCAGTATTCACAATAGCCAAAAGGCAGAAACAACTCAAGTGTCCATTGTTAGATAAATGGGTAAACAAAACGCGGCGTGTACCTGCGATGGAACATGATTCAGTCTGTAGAAGGAGGGAAACTCTGACACATGCTACAACATGAATGAACCTTGAAGACATTATGCTCAGTGAAATAAGCCCGTCATAAAAGAACAAATACTGTAGGATCCCATTTGTATAAGGTATCTAGAATGGTCAAACTCATTGAGACAGGAAGTAGAATGGTGCTTTTGGGGGACTGGTGGGGAGTGGAGGGACGATGGGGAGTTCTTGTTGAATGGGTACAGAGCTTCAGTTTTGCAAGATGAAAAGAGTTTTGGAGACGGGTGGTGGTGATGGTTGCACAACAATGTGAATGTGCTTAACCCTACCGAGCTGTACACTTAGAAATGGCTAAATGGTAAATTTTATGTTATGTGTGCTTTATCACAATTTCAACTTTTAAAAAATTTTATAAAAACGTTTCACAGGTCAGGTGATTTTGTCTGTGTGTGTGTGTGTGTGTGTGTGTGTGTGTGTGTGTGTGTGTTGGATTGCTCGGGGGACAGTGGAGGCAAAGGTGGGTGACAATGTGCTGAGCCTCCCTGCAAAGCAAAGGGCATGACAGACCATTGACATCTGTGTGATATCTCCAGGGAAAAGCCCTGAGCCAGCGATGAGCAATGCTCAGGTGGTTCATTTGGCTCCAGAAGGATCCCGAACCTCCTCCGACAGAGCTGCCAAGCCCTGGCACCCTGCATGGTCTCACATGCCTCCTGGCAGACACAAGGAACCACCCGCCCTGGAGGACATACAGTGTGGCCTCTGACATCTTCCTTGTTGTCTTGGAGTAAGATTTTCCTCCTCGCTTCCCTTCCCACGTATGATCATCTAGCCAGTAAATATTCACCGGTGCATGCTACTGGCCAAGCCATGTGCTGGACGCCTGGGACCGAGAGGTGAACACACCACAGTCGCTGTCCAGTCCAGCAGGAGGACAGACACGCAGGTGAGCACCTGCAGCAAAGCCTGGGGTGCAATGTGATGGCCCCAGGAGCTATGAGGACACACAGCTTTGGGCAGCCAACCTCATCTGGAGGACATGGTGAATGTCCCCAGAAGCAAGGACAGTCACGCTCTGAGATCTGAGATCCAACAGAACATCAGGAGTTATCCCGGTGCAAAAACCTGGGAGAGGACAGGGGAATGAGAATACATGGGTAGGGAATTCACACTGAGAACAGCACTGGGCAGGGCTAGACGCAAGGGAGGCAGGGTGTGTTTGAGGAGCAAAGAGAAATCAGTACAAGGAAAGCACAGAGCACGAGGGGAGTTGTGCTGGTGCCTCCAGAGAGGTGGACAGCATCCGGGCACTGAGGCCTCCTCGCCTGTTCAGCAGCAGCTGGTCACCCTCCAAGGGCAGCAGGAAAGTTGAAAGTACTCAAACAAAAGAGCACCATGATCCAGTTGGCATTGTGGAACTGCGCATTAAATTGGAGGAGCATGAGGTTAGATGTGGGCATGGGCGGACCTGTGTGTTAGTTCCTTATGGCTGCTGAAACAAATCGTTACAAACTGGTAGCTCAAAACAACAGAAAGTTATTCTTACACAGTTTTGTAGGACTGAAGCCTAGAATCTGTTTCACTGGGTTGAAATCAAGGTGTTGAAGGGCCAGGCTCCCTCCAGGGTCTCTAACAGAGCTTCCTCCAGCTTCTGGCGGCTGCCGGCATTCCTTGGTTTATGGTGACATCCCTCCAATCTCTGTCTCCACCTTGGAGCATCACCTTGACTGTGTACCTAATCTCCTTTGTCTTATAAGGACACTTGTGATGGTATTCAGGACCCACCTGAGTAATCCAGGATAATCGTCTCATCTCAAAATCCTTAACTTAATCCCTTGTGCTAGTGGGAATGTCAGATGGTGCAGTCATTGTGTAAAACACGTGGCAGTTCACAAAATTAAGAATGGAATTGCCATATATCCAGTAATCCCACTTCTGGGTATATACCCACGTGAATTGAAAGCAGGGTCTCAAAGAGATATTTGTACACCCATGTTCATGCAGCTTTAGTCACAGTAGCCAAAAGGTGGAAGTCAGCCAAGTGTCTATCAAAGGACAAATAGATAAACAAAATATGGCATATATATATATATATATATATATATACACACACAATGGGATAATTCAACCTTAAAAAAGAAGGAGGCCGGGTGCAGTGGCTCATGCCATGCCTGTAATCCCAGCACTCTGGGAGGCCGAGGTGGGAGGATCACTTGAGCTCAGGAGTTCAAGACCAGCCTGAGCAAGAGCAAGATCCCATCTCTACTAAAAATAGAAAAAATTAGCCTGGCATGGTGGTGTGCACCTGTAGTCCCAGTAACTCGGGAGGCTGAGGCAGGAGGATAAATCGAGCCCAGGAGTTTGAGGTTGCAGTGAGCTATGATGACACCACTGCACTCTACCTAGAGTGACAAAGTGAGAATCTGTCTCAAAAAAATAGATAGATAAGACATTTCTGAAGCCACCAGTTTTTCACTCCAAGAATCTGATTCCCTTCCCCGGGAGAGCAGACAACCCAGCTGGAATGGCCGCTGCGTGGATATAGGCCAGTGCTGGGGAAGTGTCAGAGCCGGTCACTCGGTTTGGGAGCAGCTAGAAATAGGGGAACCAGGGCAGAGCAGGGAAGCCAAGGAGGAGCGAGTTGGAGCCTCAGACCAGAGCAGGCCTGGGAGCCACAGGCCAGGGCTCGAGGCGGGAAACAGAGAATGAGGGGTGTCATGGCAAAGGATTGAGGACTGTGGCCCAGGGAGGGGTTGGGCATTGGCTGCCACTGGGTGCCGGGAGCTCGGGAAGGCTCAGCGGCCAGACCAGGCCAGGCAGGCCGTAGACGCTGAATGGCGTCGGCCTTCCATGAGGACAAGGCCATCTGTAACGAGACGTCCCCTTCCCCACTGCAAGCCTCCCTCCCGGGCCTCACCCCTGTTCCCCGTTGTTAAGGACACCTGGGCACCCAGAGCGCTTGGAGAGGGTGACTCGAAGGGTCAGGTTAAACTTCCGCCTGGCCTTGGAGGGGAGAGTCTTCGAGAACCTCAGAACAACAACAAACACTGGCGTATCAACTTACAGATGGCCGAAACAGGTGCCGGCTCCCCCGGCGCAGCTGAGACCGTCAGTGCGGCGCCTCTACACTCCCATCCAAGTCAGACGCAACTGTATCCCTCCTTTTTCCCAGTTTTTTAAAATTATGGTAAAATACACATGACAGAAAATGGGCCATCTCAGCCATTTTTAAGTGTACTGTTCAAGGGTGTGAAGCACGTTCACCTTGTCGCGCAAATCGCCGCCATCCATCTCCAGGGGCCCCTCACCTTGCAAAACCGAAACTCTGACGCCCATGTCCCCTCCC